GACGCGTATCATGATCCTCGAACGGGATACCCAAACCATAAACACCACCACATACTTACCCTCTCGAGTTTCAGTACCTAGTAGAGCGCGTATCGACTTGAGTGTCGGAGAACCTTTTGGAGAAAAACCCCCCTTCCGGTCCCCCTCGGAGCCCAGACTTACTCATTTTCCAGTATATGTAGGACCCATCCGATTTCCGCCCCGGAGCTGCATACTGCTCATCCCCCAGAGAATAAAACTCGGAGACTGAGCTGCGCTACCCGGACGAACACACGCCCCCAGCATTTTGTTAATTATCTCCTGAGCAACAGGCGTTAAATACAGAGGGAAGACCGGTATGCAGTCCCACGAAGGAAGTAGTCACAACATTACCAGGCAACCAATCACTGGTGCAGCCCAACTAGCAGAGCTGGGTCTCCAAATTTTTTCCTCTAGGGGGATCAAACATTTAAATGGCCTTAAAGATTTATATGCTGATTTATTTATCAAAATATTTTTATATTTTAGAAAATATTTTTTTATTAAATTTTTGGGAATTAAAATCTGTTCATTTAAATTAATTTATAGTTATAATTATTGTTGTTTTTCTTGTTTTGGTGTCTTATATATTTTAATTATTTTTAGACAAATTCCTTCCGATGCACTTAATCTAAGTTTTTGTTCCTCATATACACTAACACTCTAAAACATTCGTTCCATAACATTTTTCACTAATGACTTGACCATATTAATCTTAGTTAGATAAAATATTAGTTAATAAAAGGAGAAGAAAAATAGTGTATATACAAATATATCAATGCTCAAGACTGATCTGAAATTCAAATCATTTGTTTTGTTTAGGATCGTTCTTCTGTTTGATTGTGGTTTGTGATTGTGAATCTTTTAGATCTTTGAGGTTTTTTTGATGGAAAAGTGTTTTCGTGATTTAAAGCTCAGAATCATATAGTGGAAGATAGATCTGATATAATTGGGTGTAAAGCTCAAGAAACCCGAGCTAAAACAACAATGGTGAAAAAAAGGAAATCGACGGAAATTAGGGTTTGTGTGTCACAGAGGTGAGGAAAGAGATGAGAGTAAATTTAAGAAGATATTCTAAACCTTTAGGAAGACTATCCTACAATGTATAAATTAAGGAAGCCATTACATGTATTTATGAATGTCTTCGTAAATCGTATAATTGATTTTTTTGTTAATTTATACAATTCAAATTCATGAAGCCCTTCCAAGATACCTTTCCACAATTCATGAAACCTTTTCACAATTCATGAAGCCTTCCATAATTCAGGAAATTTTAAAAAATTTAGGAAGTCTTACCTAAATCATATGAAACGATGTTAAATTATAGTATTGGGAAGACATTCCTGAAAAAATCGGAAACATTAACCGAAAAAAAAACATTTAGGAAGACATTCCTAAAAGGCAAAATTGAAAAACTCAAATTAAAAATCTTAGGTGTAAACTTCCCTGTTATAATTGTCCTGAAAACTTGTTTTTAGTGTAACTATAGAAATCGCTTATTTGGGCAATTTCCATAATTATATTGAAAACAAGTTTTCAGGACATATGTAACATGGAAGCTAAAATTTTTCTACCTCTAACATTTTTCATTTGAGTTTTCCAGTTTTGTCCTTTAGGAAGGTCTTCCTAAATATTTTGTTTTTCTGTTAATGTTTCGTGATTTTTAGGAAGATCTTCCAAATACTAGAATTTAACATGTTTCATATGATTTATAAAAGCTTTCCTATATTTTTCAAAATTTTCTGAATTGTGTAAGGACTTCCTGAATTGAAGAATGATTTCCTGAATTCTGGAAAGGCTTCTTGGAAGGGCTTCCTGAATTTGAGTTGTATATATTAAAAAAAAAAATCAATTATATGATATACGAAAGCATTCCTAAATACATATAATGAGTTCCTTAATTTATACATTCTAGGAAAGTTTTCCTTAAACTTTAGAATATCTTCCTAAATTTACTTTCATCTCCTTTCTCACTTCTGCAACATTCAAACCCTAATTTCCGCCGATTTCCTTTTTTTCACAATTGTTGTTGTTTTAGCTTGGATTTCTTGAGCTTTTCCCCCAATTATATTAGATCTATCTTCCACTATATGATTTTGAGCTTTAAAATCCTAAAATCACTTTCCCAGGAAAAAAAACTCAAAGATCTAAGAGATTCACAATCACAAATCACAATCAAACAAGAAGAGCAATCCTAAACAAAACAAAAGATTCAAATTTCAGATCAGTCTTGCCAATTGATACCTTTGTTTGTACACTCTTTTTCTTCTCTTTTTATTAACTAATATTTTGTCTAACTAAAGTTAATATGGTCAAGTCTTTAGTGAAAAATGTAATGGAAGGAGTTTTTCAAAGTCTTAGTGTATATTAGGAACAAAAACTTAGATTAGGTGCATCTTAGGGAATTTATCAATATAATTTTTAATATTTTTTTTAATTTATGTGAAATATGTCAAAATGACATTTTTTTATAAAACATAAGTAAAAAAAATTCTTTCTAACCTAATAATTGTTTTTGATGGGAAAGTGTTTTTGTGATTTAAAGCTCAAAATCAGACAGTGTAAGATAGATCTGATATAATTGGGTGAAAAACTCAAGAAAACTGAGCTAAAACAACAACAATGTTGAAAAAAGGAAATCGACAGAAATTAGGGTTTGTGTGTCACAGAGGTGAGGAAGGAGATGAGAGTAAATTTTAAAAGATATTCTAAACCTTTAGGAAACCGTTACATGTATTTAGGAATGTCTTTGTAAATCGTATAATTGATTATTTTTTGTTAAATTTAGGAAACCGTTACATGTATAAATTTAGGAAACCGTTACATGTATTTAGGAATATCTTCGTAAATCGTATAATTGATTATTTTTTATTAATTTATAAAATTCAAATTCATGAAGCCCTTCCAAGGTACCTTTCCACAATTTATGAAACATTTCCACAATTCACGAAGCCCTTCCACAATTCAAAAAATTTTAAAAAATTTAGGAAGCATTACCTAAATCATATGAAACGATGTTAAATTCTAGTATTTGGAAGACATTGTTAAAAAATTCGGAAACATTAACAGAAAAAACCATGTAGGAAAACCTTCATAAAGGGCAAAATCGGAAAACTCAAATTAAAAATGTTTGGTGTGAAAAAAAATTGAGCTTCCCTGTTATATTTGTCCTCAAAACTTGTTTTTAGTGTAATTATGGAAATTACCCTTATTTTTACTATATACATATTACACTACTTCTCATCGTAAATTTAATTATTTACTTTTTATAATAATATTTTTAATTTACTACAAAATAAACACTTAATAATTATGTCAACCTTTAATTTATTTGTTCATTCTAACACTTTAACCATTACTCTCTCTGCGTTTCATTAAAAAATGTTACTTTGACATATTTCACATAAATAAATAAAAAACTAATAAGAGTTTTATTTCATCCTTTTCAATATACTAGATAAATTTTTCTTTAACAAATATACTAAATTAATAAGGTTAAAACAAGATTTTTATTATTCTGCATTGAAAATATAAAGTGACACTCTTTAGGAAATAAAAACAAAACTTTATAAAGATAATCTTTATGAAATGAAGTGGGTAGTATTTAATCATTATCCAATGATCAAAAATAAATAAATTTATACACAAATAATATATATCAAAAGTTTGAAAATTGGTAGAAACAGTGAACCATATCGTTAATTACAGGATATATAAGATCTATATGGCAACTTCTTAGTTTTACCCAAGTATATCTTAGACCATATATATACTATTTAATTTTTAAATTAATTTAAATAATAATTAAATTACCTTGTATTTCACTAAAAACTACTATCAATGTTATAACATAATGTTATTTATCTATCTAAAATCAATTATATTATATTATATGATTTTAAAATTATAATAATTTATATAAATAATAATCATTTTATCCTGTACATAATACAGGTTATTACCTCATTTTGTTATATTTTTATGCTTAACATAATAAACGTTCTTTTATCAAAATAGTGAAATACCTTCTATCATTGGCATCGTCTTGTTTGGTTCCCCAAACTACAGCAAATATTCATAACCTGGCTAGCAATTCGGAATCGACTCTTGACTCGGGATCCGAATGCGAAGTTGGGGCTTAACTCAGGTTTGTATATTTTGTTGGGAGCTTGATGAAACGAGAGACCATCTGTTCTATGCTTGTCCTTATACCTACACTGTCTGGTTAGCATTGGCGAGGAGATTGCTGGGAACTGCTGCTGATCCAGATTGGCATGAAACAATGCCATAGTCATCAACTTCTGGACAATATTCTGTTGGGAATGGTTCTTCAAATATCCAAATACTTTATTTGGTGGGAGCCTAATGATAGACCACATGGCCGAAACTTTGTTACCTATCAGACTCTCACTCGCAAAATTGACAGAGCTATGAAGAACCACATCAACTCTCTTGCATACAGACATCCTCATAAGTTGGAAGGTCTTATGCGACGTTAGTTTGAGAGTGGGTGAGCACTCAGTTCTTTGTTTCATATCATATACACTAATTAATATTGCTAACACTTTAACTGTATAGCTTCCACACATGTGGCTCAGATTTTGATCAATAAATTTGATATTCAATCAAAAAAGAAAAGATTAAAAAAAGAGAATGGCTTAGTAGTTACACTTATTAACTAGTGACAAAATCTTATTTTAGACTTTCCTTTTAAATTTTTTATAAATTAATATATAAATACATATTTATAAACAAATGAATATATATATATATATATATAAGACGACGGAGATGGAGATCTAGGTCTCTAATGCATTTCGATAGAAGATTTTGGAGGGACTAATCGTCTTCTTAGGTACAATTCAGGGTTCTTGGGAAAGGCGATTGGTATTTGGGATCAATATATCTTGGAAAGGGGTTTCGGGTTGTTCTTATTTGGTTCGATGGGATTGGGTTTTCTTGAGGTTGAGAATCCTCCAAAAATGGACAGTCTTGTTAAGTACGAAGCTTGTGGATGGGGATCTGCTGGCAGAGGCGAGGGCAGAGTGGGGGGTCCGGGTTATCGTCACAAAGCAGCGGTTTGGTTTCAGGGGCCATTGGGGTTTCCAGCATGTTTCAATCGGTACGAGGGGTGGCAAGGGGAGAGGGAGAAGGTTGCTCCGGGCCTGCAAAAAGTGGGGGTTACGGAGTTCTCTGCAGCTTCGCTGGGAGGTACGATTCTGCCAGATATGGATTTTCGGTTTGGGGAAATCATGGAACAGTACGGAGGAAGTAATTTTGGGTACCATGGAACTAGTCATATATTTGAGGAAACAATGGAGACATGGAAATCTACTTTTGGTTCTAAAATTCACAAAGCGGGGAGGTTATTCTGAGCGGACTTATCAACCAAAGGTATGGGCTCTTTGCCTCAAGATTTGGCTACATCAAATATTTACTTGGAGATATACTTTTAATCGGGAATCTCTTGGGATAAATGGTGATGGGCGAGTATCATGGAGGTTTAATATGGAATGCAACTTGGGAGAATCGCTTGATTTTGGTAATCAGATACTTCGTGATTTGTTATGGAACGAGAGGAGGCATTTTTGGCAATGGCTATAGGTATTGTTCCGATCTCACTCAACTATTTATGGAATTATTTGGTACATTAGTCTGGATTATTGGGAGTACTTTAAGGGAGCTAATTGTGGGAATATTGGGATGTTGGTTGTATAAGATGGTCCCTAAAACACTTTACTCATCCAACATTTCTATTTCCTTCTCAAAAGTCTAATACTCTTGGATTTTTGGGAAAAAACCTGTCTCAATCAGGTCATCTTGGGTCTGCCAATGGGAGTAACAAAGGCAAAGCAACATTACTACCGAGGCTCAAGATCACGGTTCCACGTTTTGACAACACGGAGTTGATAAATGGTTACCCTCGGACCCTTATTGGGTGGTGTATGAACCCGTTGAAGCAGGACATGAATGCTCTACTGGTCATGTTTCTGAGGATATGGAAGGTTGAAGACTATGTCGCCGGAGCAGATCTCGGTATGGGGCATTTCCAGTTTGACTTTGATGAAGAGGAAGACATCACTTCTGTTCTGCAGATGGAACCGTACCATTTCGATGGTTGGATAGTGGTGTTAGTTCGATGGGAGCCGTTAATAGTTATTCATCAGTTTTGACTTTCTGGGTGCGCATAATGGGGATTCCTCTGCATTTCTGGGCTGAAACTAGTTTTCGCAGTATTGGGGAGGCTATCGGAGATGTTCATGCTATAGATTTGGATGGAGGTAGAGTACGATTGACGCTAGATGCTTTCAAACCAATCATTTTTGAGACAATGGTAGAGTTTCAGGGAGGTGTGGAGACAGTGGTGATTCTACGATATGAGAGACTCCAAGGTTGTTGCCGTGAATATCACAGCATTTGTCATGACACAGACCGATGTCCAGTGTTATATCCGAAGAGGGAAAGATCAACAGAGAGCAGGTACAAGGAGGATAAACCGGATGGAGGGGTCACTAGCTATAAAGGGGCCCTTACTAGCAATGGAATTTCCTCGATGTCTGATCGTGAGCCACAACAGGGTTCCAAAGATATGCTGAAAGGAAAGGGAAAGATCTCGGAGGTCAGAGAGACACGGAAGGCTCCTCCTTCCGGTGTGAAGCTGGATGGTGATAACTCGGGAGGCCACAGGGTAGCAGCACGGTCATATCCGCCGAGAGAAGGAAAACAAAGATATGGGGGCATAACCAGAGGCATTCATCGGGGCCAGGAGAGATTCATAACGAAGCAAAAGGTACAGTGATACGCCGAAAGCATGTCTCAGGGGGAAGAGCACAATTTTACAAGCCCAACCCATCATTCCGCCAAAAAGGTCCGAAAAGAACTGGATTTTAAACAAGGGGAGATCGGAATGGATGATCTTGGTGTCATGATTGACAGAGTGGCTATGGGGGATGGGCTAGAGGACAAAAGGAATAATACAGTCACAAGTGATCATAATGACCCAGCGGAGGAGGAGTTTCTGGAAATGGGAGATGATCTTGGAGATGAGGATGAGTTGGGGGCTCTCTTTATGGAAGAGTGGAAAGCAGAGGTACAACACAAGGTGAAGCACGATGTAGAACAGATAACGGATCTGGGTAACATTGAAGAGCTAGTGACTGTGGGAGGAGATGGGGATGGTTCTTTGGAGGAGAGTGAAAATTAAGCAGCCGCGAAACCTGTTCCCAGAACCGGTGTGAAGAAGAAGCTTTTTAAAGGGAATTTTTCAGTTGGTGGTGGATCTAAGAAGCTAGGACAGGTAGTTACACCGAGGAAAAAAGACGTTAATTCGGGACACAAAAAGGGCTGGTGAGCGAGGGATGATACCTTTACAGAAGAATGAAGTTATTTTAGAGGAAGCAGACAATAAAATTGTTGATTAATGCGTGTTTTAAGTTGGAATTGCCAAGGTTTGGGAAATAGGTACACAATAAGTTATCTGAGGGAGATTTGGAGGAGGTTTAAACCAGATTTTCTTTTTTTTTCTGAAACTAAACAATGTTCTGAATTTGTAGAACAGTTTAAATTTCATTTTGGTTTTGATTTGTTATTCATGGTTGAGCCGTCTGGAGCAAGGCGAGGTCTTGCTTTATTATGCAATAAAACTGTTCATGTTACATTACTGTTTGCTAATAAATGGCTGATGGATATTGAGGCAAGGTTGGACGGAAAAATAATCTTTATGTCTTTTGTATATGGTGATCCAATCCCAAAATTAAGAGATCAAGTATGGGAAAGATTAACTAGAATAAGTACAACAAGATCGGAAACTTGATTTTTAATTAGAGATTTTAATGAATTAACGGGTAATCATGAAAAGCAAGGAGGGATCCTTCGGCCTGTATCTTCTATTAAAAGTTTTAATACTATGATTGCGAATTGTGGGTTGATTGAATTTTCGAACCATGGAAACACGTTATCGTGGAAAAGGCAGACGAAATGGACAGAATGCAAGATGTAGATTAGATCGTGGCTTTGCAACAGAAGACTGGCATGATTTATTCCCATTCTCATATGTAGAATATTTGAGAATGATTGGGTCCGATCACCGACCTATTGTGGCTACAATAGATTCAAAGAAAGTTAAACGCCAAAGACCATTCCGGTTTGATAAGAGATGGATTCGACAAGAAGGTTTAATGGAGGTAATAGAACGGGGATGGCAGTGTAACCACCTAGATACCAGCCTGAACGTAGTTGATAAAATTAACACGTGCCGACATGAGATAACAAAATGGCGGAAGGAAAACCAACCATATGGAAGAGATAAAATAGAGGAGTTACAAAAACAAGTTGAGGATATTCAGAATGATGATAGCAGGTTACAGGAAGAGCTAAATGAGATAACGAATAAACTAATAATGCTTACCGAGATGAGGAATAGTTCTTGCAACAGAAAAGTCGAAACCTGTGGAACAGATGTGGGGATCTCAACACTAAGTTTTATCATGCAATGATATATCATGGTTTTTATGGTTTTTAACTATGATATGAGTCCTTTTTATTGAGTCTTTTTGGTATTTTTAGAGTCCTAGTAGAGTCTTTGCAGGTTGTAGCATGTCTGGAGCATAATTGGAGATATTGAAGCTTTTTGGAGCATTGCAAGATGAAGCCACGAAGTGTGCAACTCAAACGGAGGATATGGACTTGGGTGACGCTCGTCACCCGTAGAGGAAGGCTCGTGGCTGGTTTCATAAAAGAAGGAGCATTATTTGCAGTTTTGGCCCAAAAGTTCTAGTATTTGTAAAAAGGCTCCAAATCGTGTTTTAGCTTGTATATATTATGTTTTCAGCCATTGTTGGCTTTTATCTTAGATTTTGAGAATTCAGAGAGCGTTAGAGAAGATTTTATTAGAGCTTTTGGGGAGACAGATCATGTACTCTTTTTGGAGAAGATTTCGAATCCCTTTGTCTTTTATTTCATTCTTTCAATGCAATTTTATTCAGCCATGCTTTCTGTTTTCATGATCATGTCTGAGTAATTTGCTAGTTAAGTTAGGGCTTTTTCAAAGGTTTAAGAAGAGTTTGTAGAATTGCTATTTGTTTGGAATATCTTTTGGTTCTTCAGCTCTGCTTGCTTGAAAATCAATTTCTTAGACACATCATCTAGAAATCAGAAAATCATAGGTTGCTTAATAGATGTGAGAGCATTATTGATAACCTGATCTAGCAAAACGATTCAGTGCAAAGAGATTTGGCTTAGGAGTTTTTTGAACAATTGAACTTGTGCCACTTGTTGAACCTGTTGTTCAACTATGACATTCCCATCTTATCCAGTCTCTGCCCTACTTCATTCCTCTTGTTTCCCTCTCTGTCAAGTTTTTGGCGCCGTTGCCGGGGAGTAATAGCTGCCTATCGATTTTTAGTATTAGGATTTTGTCTAAGTTTTGATTTGCTTACTAACTTTCTGCTATTTTCAATCCGCCCTCCTGCTTTCCAGAAGAATGATTTTGAGCTTATGCCTGCTTATTATCAGCTGGTGGGACAGCATCCATTCCATGGCTTACCTCATGAGCATCCCATGGATCATATTGAGAGGTTTGAGGACTCAGCTCCAAGTGTCAAATCTAATGGAGTTAGCTATGACTTTCTGTTCTGCAAGCTTTTCCCTTACTCACTTGGAGGAGATGCTGCATATTGGCTGAAGCAACTGGAGCCTGGTTCGCTGACTACTTGGGAAGACACCAAGAATGCCTTTCTGAACAATTTCTATGATGATGCTAGATCAGAGGACCTGAGGAAGAAAATTGCATCATTCTCCCAAGGTCCTACTGAAGCTTTTAAGGCTTCTTGGCTGAGATTCAAGTCTTATCAAATGGACTATCCTCATCATGGTTTCAGTCAGGTGCAACTACTTGGGATTTTCTTCAGAGGCATTAACTAGAAGTATCAGATGGCGCTGGATGCAGCTAGCGCTGGAAACTTCAACACCAAAAGACCCGAAGAAGAAATCAGATTGATTGAAAACTTAGCCTGCAGCAACAGCACCAAGAATGCAGATTTTCAGAGAATGAAATAAGCAGGTTTGAATGATGGGAATCAGATTGCTGAATGATATCTCTTGTATTTACACCATTTAGGCTTGCATTTAGTGCATGTTTTGGTTTTCTTTTGCATGTTTTCCTTATCTTTTGTCCCATTTTCTTCTCCTTTTAGACTTAGGTTGCATTTAGGATATAGTTTGCATTTTCTATGCATTATGGATGTTTTTAGGTGCCTATGGAGCTAAGAGGAGCATTGGAGGAGCTTTGGGGATGATCCAGGAAGCTAGCTGGGCTAAGAGGAGCAAAAGGGACCAAGGCAGACGATCTCTGCAGAGCCTATCGATCAAGACACAAGGCCTATCGGTCAAGCAGTGACCGATAGAAGGACTATCGACCAGACCTATCGGTCAGAGAAGTGACCGATAGAAGTGCACCGTATATATTTCGGTCACCCTATCGGTCATCTTCTAGACCGATAGGATCCCTATCGATCACCCTATCGGTCACAATGTGACTAATAGGAACCCAGTCTGAACCTGTCTTTTATTAAACTTTTGCCATTACTTTAGGGCTTCCTTCTTTTATATATAAATACCCCTTTTTCTGGGATTTTCAACAAATCATGTCATAACACTGTTCTTGAGTTAATTTTCTGAGTTTGCAAGACAAATTTCTTGTTTTATTTAATATAAGTTTGTATTTGCCATTAATCTTTCCTTAATCTCTCCTCTAATCATGATTAGCATATTTTCCTCTTGTGATTTGGTGTTAAACATGAGTATTAGTGATTAGTTTGCTTATGGTTCTTAGATGTGGTAGATTAAGGGGATTTAGGGATTGATTAAGGTTTGTTTAGTGTTTAATTTAATGGGTTCCTCTCTATTGATCTGTTTTGAAGCTAGTTTTGTCTTGATCACACTTATCTAGAATTTGAGCTTTCTCTTATGCCCACCAAGTGTTTGATGAAATGCTGATCTTGTTTGATAGAGGATTAGCTGGCCTTGGCTCAAGAGATTGACTGTTTGAGGAGCATTTTGACATGAATAGAGTTGATTGTTATTGCTTGTTAAATGTTTTAGCACTAATGAGAGTTAGTTCTTGTTAAGGTGTTTAGCAAAGGGCTATTTACCAAGAGATTAGACTTAGCTTGCTTATTTGTGAACTCTATGTCTAGGAACCACCATTGCTAGCTTATTTTCTTGATCAATGCTGTTTGAAACAACCTTAGTAAGTCTCTGAATTCCCCAAAATCAATAACCACATCTAGGAACTTGCTTTCTCTTTTATTGAATTTTGGATTTGCTTAGTACTCTATTTATTTGCTCTGTTTTACTTCTTTGATCATTACTGAACTGTCTCTTTTGATTTCTCTTTGGTGATTGATCATTTTAGGTTATTAGTTTTGTTACTTAGGCAACAAAAACCTTCTTTGCCTGCTTAACTTAATGATATACTCATATATTTAACATATTTAGCATGCATTTAAGGTTTGTTTTCATGCATCCATATCTCATTTTAGGCTAGTTTGCACCATTTATCTCATTCTAGGTCCTAAGTGCACATCGCATTAGCATTTGCATATTTTCTGCATTTTTGCATCATTATCAGGTTGTTTGGGAAACTCTGGAGTTGTGGAGGTTGCGTGGATGTGCATAGGATCGAGAGGAAGCTTGTGGACACTTGGAGAACTCAACCATGCATGCAAAGGACCCGAGATCGAGCAGCGGATCGAGCAAGGCAGGTCGATCTATATTAGATCGACCAGAAGATCGACTAACCTGGATCGTTTCAAGGAAGGGATCGAGGATGAGATCGAGTGAGGAGATCGATCGTGAGTATGGACGTGGATTATGCCATGCAGAACGAGAGCCAGATCGAGACCACGACCCGATCATCTAAGGATCGAGTAGAAGATCGAGCAAAAGCAGATGATTCATGAAGAAGATCGAGCCAGAGATCGAGTGACCCGAGTCGATCTTTGGGAACTTATCCGGCCAGCTCATTTTTTGGAGCGTAGTGAGGGGACCATTAGGGCTGTCTGGCTATTTTGGGCAAAGGGCGGACATCACTTTCATTATCCACGCTTTGCCTTATCTTTTAAGAGTTTCTCTTAGGCGATTTCAGCCATTGTTCTGTTCTTTAAGCTTTTCTTGTTTTTAAACCTTGAATCTTGTTAATCATTA